TTCCAGCTTACTCACTCTCTATAAGTTAGTTAAGTATTCTGAGCCCAAGTGTCCTCATCATCAGAGTTGAGACAATTATGACTACTTTATAGAGTTGTTTACAGGATCAAATAATGCAGGTAAAGTCCTTAGCACAGCACAAGCAGACCTCATTTTATTGTACTTCACTTTATTGCGTTTCACAGATATTGTGTTTTTTATAAATTGAAAGTGTACGGCAACCCTGTGTCTAGTAAGTCTATTGTGCCAATTTTCCAACATTTGCTCACCTTGTGTCTCTGTGTCACATTTTGATAATTCTGACAATATTTCAAAATTTTTCATGATTACTATATTTGTTACGGTGATTTGTCATCAGTGATCTTTGATGTTACTATTGTAATTGTTTTGGGGCGCCATGAACTGCGCCCATGTAAGACAGCAAACAATTGATAAATGTTGTGTGTGTTCTGACAGCTCCACACACCAGCTGTTTCCCTGTAGAATTCTCTCCCCCTCCTTGGGCCTCCCTATTCTCTGAAACAGCAATGTTGAAATTAGGCTAATTAATAACCTTACAATGGCCTCAAAGAGTTGAAGTGAAGAGTTGCATGTCTCTCACTCTTAAACTTTGGGAGAAAGGCATGTCAAAAGCTGAGGTAGGCTGAAAGCTAGCCCTCTTGTGCTAAACAGACAAGCTGTGAATGCAAAGGATAAGTTCTTGACGGATATAAAAAGTGCTATTCCAGTGAACACACAAATGATAAGAAAGCAAAACAGCCTTATTGCTGATATGGAGAAAGTTTTAGTGGTCTGGATACAAGGTCAAACCAGCCACAACATTCCCTTAAGCCAAAGCCTAATCCAGAGCAAGGCCCTTACTCTCTTCAGTTCTGTGAAGGCTGATAGAGGTGAGGAAGCTGCAGAAGAAAAGTTTGAAACTAGTTGATGTTGGTTCATGAGATTTAAGGGAAGAAGCCATGTCCGTAGCATAAAAATGCAAGATGAAGCAAGTGCTGATGTGGAAGCTGCAGCAAGTCATCCAGAAGGTCTAGCTAAGATTAATGAAGATTAATTAATTAATGAAGGTGGCTACACTAAACAGCAGATTTTAATGTAGATGAAACAGCCTTCTGTTGGAAGAGGATGCTATAGCCAGAGAGGAGAGGTCGGTGCCTGGCTTCAAAGCTTCAAAGGAAAGGCTGGCTCTCTTATTAGGGGCTAATGTGGCTGATGACTTTAAGTTGAAGCCAGTGCTCATTTACCATTCCAAAAATCCCAGGGCCCTTAAGAATTATGCTAAATCTACTCTGCCTGTGCTCTTTAAATGGAATAACAAAGCTTGGATGACAGCACATCTGTTTACAATATAGTTTACTGAATATTTGTAGCCTACTGTTGAGACCTACTGCTCAGAAAAAAAAAAGATTCCTTTCAAAATATGACTGCTTGTTGACAATGCATCTGGTCACCCAAGGGCTCTGATGGAGATGTACAATAATATTAATTTTGTTTTCATGTCTGCTAACACAACATCCATTTTGCAGCCAAGGAGTAATTTCAACTTTCAAGTCTTATTATTTAAGAAATACATTTCATAAGGCTATAGCTCCCATAGATAGTGATTCCTCTGATAGATCTGGGCAGTCAGTTGAAAACCTTCTGGAAAGGATTCACCATGCTAGATGCTGCATATCAAGAACATTCGTAATTCATGGGAAGACATCAAAATACCAGCATTAACAAGAAGTTGATTCCAACTCTCGTGACTTTGAGGGGTTCAAGACTTCAGTGCAGGAAGTAATTGCAGATGCGGTAGATAAAGCAAGAGGACTAGAATTAGAAGTGGAGCCTGAAGATGTGACTGCATAGCTGCAATCTTATGATCAAACTTGAATTGGATGAGGAGCTGCTTCTTATGGATGAGCAAAGAAAGTGATTTCTTGAGATGGAATCTACTCCTGGTGAAGATGCTGTGAAGATTGTTGAAATGACAACAAAGGATTTAGAATATGACATAAACTTAGCTGATAAACCTGCAGCAGGGTTTGAGGGGATTGACTCCAGTTTTGAAAGAAGTTCTACTGTGGGTAAAATGCTGTCAGACTGCATTTGACATGCTACAGAGAAATCATTTGTGAAAGGAAGAATCAATTGATGTAGCAAATGCCACTGTTCATTGTTGTCTTGTTCTAAGAAATTGCCACAGCTACCCCAACCTTCAGCAACCACCACCCTGATCAGTCAGCAGCCATCAGCATTGAGGCAAGACTCATTACCAGCAAAAAGATTTATAACTCACTAAAGGTTCAGATGGTGGTTAGCTTTTTTTAGTAATAAAGTTCTTTTTTAATTAAGGTATGTACATTGCTTTTTTAGACATAATGCTATTGCACACTTAATAGACTATAGTAAAGTGTAAACATAACTTTTATATGCACTGGGAAACCAAAAAAATTCGTGTGACTCTCTTTATTGCGATACTTGCTTTGTTGCAGTGGTCTGGTACCAAACCCACAATATCTCTGAGGCGTTCCTGTATAACTGACTGTCCTCTGACTTAGCTCCTTGTGATCATACCTGAGTTTTAGAGGAGAGGAGACTATGAAAGAAAATTACAAGAGCTCTTTCACAAAAATCTCCATGAAACAACGAAAGCCCAGGTCAATACTAGGTTACTAACAGAGAATGGCATATAGTGAGGTGAGAGGATTCTTCTACACCTCAACATACAGGATTTTTTTTAAGTTTTTATTAAATTAGGAGAATTACACATAAAAATCCAGATTTCTGACTTCTCTTAAAGAATCAGAAGATCTGTTCCTAATGGTAACTATTAGCCCTCTTTTAGACATAGATGTGCTATTTGCCACAGTCCCCATCACTCCCTATTGTTTTACATCTAGCCTGCTTTCCTCATTGATCTGCTTGACCCCTGACTTTATGACTTCTGGCCTATAGGTTCAGGAAAGTAGTCATGATGCTGATGATGACAACGGTAAAGTTGGTGAGGAAGAGAGTTTGTAAGCTATCTTCAATTATTCAAAAAGCCTAATGGCAATGATTATATTGTTAACCTCTAAAAGACTGGGAGACATTAACTGTAATACCAGATTTATTTGCTTTTAAATGGAATTACATAAACTGAGTAATTGTAGTGTCATGAAAGAAGCTCAGACAGACAAGTAGATATCATTGATTAATGTTTTTTAAATTGGGAAAACAGATTATTATTATTTAATAACTAAAATTTGTTTGATAGATCAGTTCTTTCAAATTATGGGGCCTAAGAAGAAGAAAAATTATAGTGATAAAATGTATGTCCTTATTGGTTGAAAGGTTGAGAAAGGAGCAACTGGATTTTTCTGTCACTTTTCCACTGGCTTTTGTAGTTCAAAGGCTCAAAACCCGATGAGGGAATGTTGGAATTTCAGATATTTCACAGTAGATAGAGAAGACATTGGGGAAAGGCTGTGGGGTTTCTTTTGAGCCCTGGAATTTCATGTCTTTCTAAGTCAGGAGCTAGGCTAACTTCTAATTTTAAATAATAGACATGGTTTTTAATATAGACTCTGTTTTTTTCCAAAACTGTAAAATAAAATGAATGGCCATGACCACTTATAAAATTGTCATGCTCTGTTAAAACTAGTTAAGCTTCCTTGTCCATGCTAATGTACAAGGTCACTGTGTTTTATAAGGGTGAAGAAACTTCTTCCTGATGACCTGTAATTCGCAAGGGTTGTTACATGTCCTAGTACAAAGCTGATTCATAATTCTACTAGGTGGGCAGAGGTATTACATTTTTAGTCTTTCTTGCCATCTTCTTCCAGCATTTAACTAAACGATGTGAGAATCTTTTGAGAATCACAGAATTTTCACGCTAACATGAAAATTAAACTTGGAGGAGGGTATAGCCCAGTGGTAGAGTGCATGCTTAGCATGCATGTGGTCCTGGGTTCAATCCCCAGTACCTGTGTAAAAAAAAGAAAAAGAAAGGAAGGAAGAAAGAAAGGAAGAAAGGAAGAAAGAAGGAAAGGAAGGAAGGAAGGAAAGAAAGAAAAAATTAAATTTGATCTTCCTAATCCAACCTTCTTATTTCCCAAAGACCCAAGAGAGGGAAAAGGACTTGCCCAAGGTAGCACAGCCAAGACTGGAACTCAGATCTCCTGATTCCAAGTCCAATTAGATATGTAAGCTTTTCTGTTTCCTTTTCCACTTTAAACTAGCCCAACACACTATTGCCTAAGATCTGTTTTTTGTATATGATCTCCAGACTTCTACTTAATTGTCTGAACTTTCCGATTTTCACAATCCTCCTATCTCATCCTTACGGCATTGTCACAGGGCTTTCACATGCTTGTTTGGGAAATCCCAAATAAGGGACATGATCTGAAGGCTTCCCACGAAACCTGCTGGAGCCCCCAAGAAGACAGAGAAATCTGTGAACCACAGTCTTTAATGGTCTCTCTTTCTCTCCATTTTATGCTGACGTTTCCAAGGAAGCAAAGAGAAGCCTAACAGAAGGATGTGTCTGTTCCCCTTAGAAATGAGACTATTAAGGTTTCATACATTCTGCTCATTTCTTCTCTTTGCTTCTGTGACAATAAGCAGCTTTTCACCACCTGTCTGACAGCAGATCTCTTTCTCTCTGTGGCACATTTAGCTACTGCAATATTAGAGCAAAAACAATTTTTTTTTTTCATAAGACAGAGTGAGGGCACAGCAGAGCATCAAAGCTGCTTCTAGCCAGGGCTGCCTCTCCCAATAACCTACCCTAGTTGTGTGGGAAAGTGAAACAGAAATTCTTATGGAAAAAAATGAAGAAGGAATGGAATTGGGGAAAGTCAGTGATAAATTATAAGAGAGCTGCAATTCTAAATTGAGGTATATGAAAAGAATACAGGCTGATTCATAATATAACTGCATCTTTGCAAATGGCTATGCAAAAAGGGCAAAGGATACCTGGAAACAAACATGCTGGCCAGCCCCTGTCCCCTGTTGTTTCATCTTCACTACATAAATCTCACAAAGTTTTTTATTGTGTCAACCATGATGAGATGGGATAAAGAAGGACATATGTTGATTTTTTTTTAATAACACTACATTTTTTCCATTTAAAGGACTATCTTATATTCTGAGATTATATCCTTTTTTAGTCCTAAAACTTTTCTTTTATGAAATGACAGTGAAGGTAGATGATAATTGATGTTATTTATGTGCTTCCTTGACAACTTAAAAAAATTGATCATTCTATGTTGCCCCCCCAACCCTTAATTTTTTTCTTTTTTTAGTACTGTACTGATTTATGAAACCCAAATGTCTGTTAGTCTTCTACCTAGGAAAATACATACTAAATGTAAATAGGTACTAACCTTTTCAGAACAAATCTCAATTAATTAACATATCCTTCAAGGAGAAGACTTAACAAAATCTTACTTTTCATGCTTAACAGTTTTCTTCCTGAAAATGTTCTGCAAGTATATCAAATTAGTCATAACAACTACTGCTAAATGCTTAATGAAACACTTCTTCATAACCTCTGACAATCTGACAGGAATGAATTTAATAATAGCAATAAATACAGATGGGACTACATAAATCAAGGAAGTCCTGATGCAAAACTCTTGCTGTATTAGATGGCATCTCAGCTTTCTCATCTGAAATGAATCAAGAAATTAATTATAATGATCACAGCACTAAGACAAAAATACAAAACAAAATTCATACTCTTGGAAAGAATGCCTCTGTGTTTTGTACCCACTGTCCACTTCTTGTACACTAGAGCCAACAGACTAAGGGAAGCTCCAAAGAGAAGGCAGTATTTAGGATAAGGAATGTGGCTTCTGACCTGGTTGTGAAGGAGAATACAGCAGTGGCTTCCCCCCAGGGTAAGCCCTCTCAGACATTTACATTATGTGGCAATAAAATGCAGTTGCACAAGCATTCGCCCAAAATTGAGGTAGCTTAAGACCAAAGGTATTCTCAGTTCTAGGCGACCTTCCAACCTAGCCTCACCTGTCTTCCTTTAAAATGGAGGAAGATTCTCCTCCACCCTCCACTCCCCTGTGAACCACTTCACCTTCTAGCACCTCCCATCTCAGGAGTTTGCCCAGGATGGGCTTTATGATAAACCACTGCTACCCAACTGCTTATGGAAAATCATTGGCCCCAGCCCAGAGTACTTACAGAGCTGTTTCACTTTGAGGATCATTATTCTTTATGCAGAGCTGAAAGCAAACACGACAAGGGCAATGAGTTTGCCTGTTTTGCTAAGGCCCATGGATAAACATTTTGAATGCATCAAGGTGGCTCTAAGGACAGGAAATCCAAATGTCTGTTCATCTTAAGTAGAAGATTACAGCCACCTCTGCACTGGTCTAGGTATTATCTCTTTAACCACATTAATCATTTTTATTTGCTCTAGAGATGTAATTCTTACATCAAAATGCTTCTAGGATTCTTAGGTAGTTGAGTATTTCTTTTTCTTTCTTTCTTTCTTTTTCTTTTTTTGTAGGGGAATTATGTTTATTTAGTTAGTTTTTGAATCTAGGTACTAGGGATTGAACCCAGGACCTCATGCTTGCTCAGCATGCACTCTACCACTTGAGCTATACCCTCCCTACCGCCGAGTATTTCTTTTTTTGTAGGAAAAATTTGCTTTGGATTGGAATTGGTAGGGGGGTGGATTTCTTCTTGGGAGACATTTTTCCCCTGAATAACACCCAATTACCATATGTTTCAAGGACAGTGCCTCTTGCTGGATAATGAACTCAGCCTGGGCCATGCTGGCCAAGAAGAGACTTAGAAGCTTTCTGCCACATTTACCTCCCTTTCATACAGTCAAATGCATAGCATTAACCTGTGCATGCAGCTGCTCTGCATCATGCTAACCAACAAGGGTGACCATTCAGCCATTCAGACACCGGCCCACCACAGCAAGGCATATGGCTGTACTCCAAGGTGCCATCTTTTTCATGCAGATCTCTGAATCCAGACCAGATGTGCCTCTTCATATTTATTTATTGTACCAAAGGTACCATAGCAACAATATAGAGAATTTTAGAAGGAAGAAAAATCAGCCCCTACTTCTAACACCACAGCTATTTTCATTCAGGTCTTATCCAAATGCACTTTGTCTATTCTTTGTAAAGCTGCACTCAATATATGTACAATTTTTACTCCCTTGAGCGACTTCCATTTTAGATCTCATGGTAGGGAGACCAAGTTGTCCAAGTATGGGTCCTAACGCTATAGTCACTTCTATAACCGGTTCTCTGCCTTTATTTAGATGAATTTTTAGCTTAGAATACTTAGATACCTTCATTATTCTGTGTCTTCTAGCAACCAGTCCGAAGCACAAGGTCAGAAAGACCACAACACATGCAGCAATAATGGGTTCTATTGGCACAGTGGAAGTTCTATCTGTTGGAAATGTCAAACACAGAAAATGAGAAACTAACATTTCTATGCTTCTAATTTATGTACTTCTAATGTATTCCAGCCAGGGTGCCTTGCACTTAACCTTTCTTTCATCCTCTTAATTAAAGTCTCCAAACAATCCTGAAAGGTATTGTTATCCTCTTTTACAGGTGAGGAACCAGGGACTTTGAGAGGTTAGTTTACTCATCCAGAGTTACAGAGCCAGTGACGAGCAGAGACAGGTTTTGAATCCATTCCTTTTTGGAAGGATAATTTAGTGAAATGGGAATGACCCCCCAAAGCAGGTAGTCAGATCGTCTTGTGCTTTCTTCTTTCATAATTTTCGTCATATAAAGCACAAGTAGTGAAAGCAATGTTTTTTCCTGTCTTTCGAAAAGCCCAAAAGAATTGGGGGGTATCCCTGAGGGGGAAGGAGGGGAAGGAAGGTTTTAAGAGCATGAAGAGAAAAGGTGAGGAACCTGCTAGACTAAGGAGAGAGGGGTCTGTGGGCCCCAGGAGCAGTGGGACCCTCGTAGCTGTACTGTGATAGTGCCCCAAGCAGGTGAGAAGACATTATACAGGGTGGCTGCCTGGTGCCTCTGGGGAAGTAGAATTTGAAGTATCAGTCTTCCCAACTTTGGCAAAGATTTTCATACGTCTGTAAATGGTATGGAAGAACAGAGAGCCTACAGCTAACTTGGGCTCAGCAGACAGCAGCACCAACCATGATAGCCTAGAAATGAAAGCCTATTCCTTTATTTTCTGAGCACCAGGTAAGCTCAGAGCTATTTTGTTCACCAGGCACTCCTGGCACAGTGCCTGTGCTTATAAGCTTTCCAAGAGCCTATGAAAATATTTCCAAGAGACCTGGAAAGAAAGCATTGGCTCCAAAATACAAAAGTAAAGTGGCAAAATTAATCAAAATTAATAAATGTTTAAGCATCTATAAAATGTAACTTTGTGTCAACTATAGCCCCACTGTTAATAATAATAATGATGTTTAAACCTCAAGAGCCAAACTAATAACTTATTTATAATAAAATTCAAAATGTATGCAAGTTATACATATCCTTCCAAAATTTTCACAGCAAAAAGGCATACTTCATGTGCTTCATTTTAATGTTTGACATGATATGGGATGAACCTTTCAAAAGTAAGAGTGGTTGAGATCAACAAGGGTATTTAAATGACTCTGTCTAAGCCCCTGGATTCTGGTGCCACCCTAGGAGGGGAAGGGTCTCCAATCTTGGCTAAGGTAAAATTTTGGGAATTTATAGGAAACCGTGTGTTTTTTATTGTACAAGTGAGTTTGTGGATTGAGTGCAGTCAACAAATTTTTGCTAAATGACTACTGTTTGTTAGGCGCTGTCCTCAGCCCTGCAAAAAATAGGACAGGCATGGAAGCCTCCTGCCTTTGTGGAGCTCAAATTCTAGTGGGAGAAACAGACATTTAAAAAAACAGAAACTGCAGATTGAGATAGTATTATAAAGGACAAAGAGTCATGAGATAGTATATAAGGGGTGCAAGGAAGGGAGAAGGGGAAGAGAAAACTTTAGATTAATCTTGAATCTTTAGATTTAATCTTGAAGCCCTGTGTGCCTCAAGATTATGAAACAGGATTTACCCCTCTGTAATTGTATGACACACTAACACTTGTCTTTCAACTGTTTTAACCATTTTAAACGTTTCACTGTTTTAAGTGTTTCACTGTTTTAACTGTTTTCTTCTCCATTATGTGTCTAGTTCCTGCTCAGGATAATTTTAGGGAGTAAGTAGATTAAGCATCCTTTACTCTTGCTCTCTTTTGGCTGTTGCTAAAAATTATTCTTATGAGGGTGTGGGTTGCACCAAACCTCTGGAGAAACTCTGCTCAATGTGACTTCTTGTGAGCCCTGACTCTGTAATAGCCAGACCTGGGAGGCACCCAAGGGCTTCTTACTGGAAACCCCTTCTACTTTCAGTGCCAAGGAAAAATATGAAAATGAGGGGAGGCAAAGGTGGGCCAATTAGGATAAAAAATCAGAATTCAGTTACAGATCAGAATATTTTTACCAAGCTAAATGACATGAAGCCACATGTGACAGTTTTCATTCCATAAACAAACTGAAATAAAATGCTTGAGCCATTGGCTCACTTTAGATTCCTAGTTTCTGTTGAAAGTGAGTTTGGCAGGTGTAACCGCATCTCTCCCATTTACTCTCTTATTTGTAACCAGACCTGGTATCCTCGCCCCCCGCCACCGCCCATGTTCATTATGGTAAAATAATCCCAACGTGTGGCTAAAATCTTGTGCTCAAGAAAAGCGCTGTGATGTCATTTTCCACTTTGTGTGGCCTCATTTAGAAACTACCCCATTGAGCTGTGAAGCTGGGAGAGCTAATGGCAAACCTGACATTTAGCCTGAGCACCAGCAGCAGAGAGCTTATGCTCTTAAGGCAGCCAACAGCCAGGGAAGCAATAAAGCAAAAAGAAATAAGAAAAACCATTTGGTTTAGAAGAGCACCCAAAACAGGATTCTGCCCACCTAAAAGCTAATTTGCCAAGCTGGCATCCTGTTTGCCACCCAAGCTGTATGTTTTTAAGGTGACATAGAGCAATTATGACTCCTTCTTAACCAAGAATTTGTGGGTTTGGTTTTTAAAGCAAGTAGCCCCTGGGTATACTGTCACTGCTCTGCAGGATAAATTACTGAACACGCCAGTAATCACAGTGATGGGCATTCAGTTGGCAGCAGCTCTTCCTTCCCACCAGCCGCTCTGTTGGTACCCCAATAAAAAGCCCTATGGTCACACCTCCAACACTTCTGGCAGGGCTTCAGTTGGCTTCCTGGGGTCTGGCAAGAAAGACAATGAGTGGGCACAGGGAGGCAAATGACAAAGTGAATGATGCTTTAACAAAATACAGGAGCTTCAGCTTGTTTGGCTGCTCCTAGCATACTGGCCTCAGACCAGGAAATGTGTACATGAGCATTTTCTGCATCTGCCACACCAGGTATCTTGCCTTTCTCATTCTGTATAAATGAGAAATATAAGGAGGGAAAAAACACTTGGAACTTCATTTGTTCCTTCTTATTGCAGAGGTCACAAACCTAGGTAGAGGAAGCATGAAGCCAAGAGAAGGGACTTTTCCCCCCCATTTTCCTCCACTCCTTCTTCTGATTAGCCTAAAGTTTACAATTTCAGAGTTAGGAGTGATTTTATAGATTCATTTTCTTATCTAGTCAGTATCTTTTTTCTTTGTGTTTATGACTTCTCTTCTGTTTGTCATTAGGCTGTTAACTCAAAAGTCCAGTTCCTACAAACCTTGTTACCTAAGAGAATTCATGGAGATACTCTTCCATAAAAGCCAAACAGAACTGTCTCCTACTACTTGTTTCTAGAAAAGGAGCTTTGCTCAAAAAGAAGTATCCTGTATGGAATGGATATAATTCCCCTAAAAAGGACCAGAATTCTTAGTGGAGACCTCCTTGGATGGAGATAATTCTCAAACAAACAAAGAAAAAACCCTAGCTACTAATCATAATTGTCATCATCATTTGTTGTCATGAAAAATATTTACTGAGCATCTATCTGAGTTTTGCACTGTGCTAGGTATTACTTAAAAAGAGAGTTACCTTTGTGTATGAACCTGCAGAGTATTATGCTCTCTGTCCATTTGACAGAGAAAGACAAATACTATATATTATCACTTATATGTGGAATAAAAAATAAACAAATGTGTATATATATATATGTGTATATGTGTGTGTATGTATGTATATGTGTGTGTGTGTGTGTGTGTGTGTATATAACAAAACAGAACCAGACTCACAGATATAGAAAACAAACTAGTAGGTACCAGTGGGGAGAGGGGATGGGGCGAGAGAAGATTGGGGTATAGGATTATGAGATACAAACTGCTATGTATAAAATAGAAGCAACAAGGATATTACAGCATAAGGAAATATAGCCATTATTTTGGATTATGTTACAGGGAGTATAATCTATAAAAACATTGAATCACTATGCTGTACACCTGAAACTAATATATTGTAAATCAACTATATTTAAATAAATAAATAAATAAATAAATAAATAAATAAATAAATAAATAAATAAATAAGTTACCTTTGACAATAAGGTGAAAGTCCTTGGTCTTCATTTCCACAGATGAATTTGCAATACAGGTGTAGGTTCCATTGTCAGATTTCTGGATTTTGGTGATTGACAGTTGAAGATACTCACTTGTCTGTTGGATTTGGTGATGGTCTTTCTCTAAATTCAAGATGCTGCTGTTCTTGTACCACATCATTTGAGCCTGGGGGTTGGATTTCACATTGCAAACCAACTTCACGTTGCTGCCTTCCTCAGCTGTTTGGAAGTCATCTCCGCTTAGGAGAGGAGGAACTACAAGACTCAAGCATTTAGGTTAAATTAGAAGATAAGCAGTAGTTTACTGTCAATGTTCAAGATCTTCCTTCAGTCTATCTCATAAGTCATTCACTCATTTGACAAAACTTTATTGAGTACCTACTGTATGCTATGTATCAATCTGTGCTAATGTTGGATAAAACCATATAATATTAAGAAAACAGGCAATGCTGTGAGCCCTAATTCCATCTACACCACTTCCTGTGGCTTTGAGAAAGTTACTTAGCTGCTAAGTAACTGCTCAGTTTCCTCATTTAAAAAGTGGGATAACACCTACCTCATGAGTTGCTGTGAAGATTAAATGAATTAATGCCTGTAAAGAATTTCCTACAGTGCTAGTACCATTATTTTTGTAGTGGTCATTTGAGGCAGTAGTGTTGAGGGCTCCTCACACACTCCGTTTTTGTGTTTTGTCTAACTACCCTTGCCCTGGCCACATTTTTACCAATGCATATTTGCATCTCCTCAGTGCTCCTCTAGAAACAATGTCCTCCCCCTAGAAGGTGCTCCAATCGTGGTAACTCTGGCACCTATGGAAGGTGAGCGTGACCTTGAGTCCCTCTCATCCCTTTGTGTAAGCAACTCCTTACTCCCTCCATGATAAGGACAAATGTAGACCCACAGATAGTCAAACACATTTATCTTCACCAAATAAATCCAACCCTCACTCCCACCAGGGCTTTCCAGCATCTAAGGGGAGAAATGGCTGAGCTGACTCTCCCCTCTTCTCCATGCTCCTTACATTTATTTATTTTTTTTTTGGCTAAGGTACAGAAGAGTAATAAAATGCATGAAAAGTGGGCAGCAGGAATGAGATAGAGGCAGAGGAGGAGGAAAAAAGGAGCTTGTGTAATCTGCACACTGAATAATTAGACCCTGAGTAGGCTATGCTATTAATAACTCTCTCAGAAGAATGACATTTTGTTGCTCTTTGGGATGTTCTTGAATTTTGTATCCACATCCAACAAGGATGTAATATGGTATTCAGATATGAAGGAAGCTGTGAGAGTAGAGAATATAATTGCCAAAATATACCAGTTCCACTTATGGACGGGTCTTATTATTTGTTCCTTTTTTTTTTCAACTATTTAAGGTCAACTTTAAAGCATATCAGTTATACGTGAGTATTTCCTTTTTAAAAAATTAATATATTTCAGGTAAAGATAAGGCCCTCCTTGACTCCATCCTGGTCACTTCCTAACTTCTCACAGATACCTATTGCTATGAATTTGATGTAATACTTGTAGCTTTTTAAAAATAGGTTTTTATACGTACGATGTACCCATAGGAAATACATTGTATTGTTTTAGGAGGATGAGGAGGGTTTACATAAGAGACTTCATTCTCTCAGTAACTTGTATGCTTTTGAAATATATTCACACTGAATCACAGAGATCTAGCTCATTGCTTTTCAAGTGCTATAATGTAATATATGACTCTTTAATCATTTTATTTTGATGGGCATCAGGTTATTTTTATTTTTAAAACGCTAAACAATGCTTCAGTAAACTTCCTTGTATATGTCTTTTTATGCATATGCATTCCAAGATTAACATCTCAAAGTAGAAACCCTCGGTCAGGTAGGTGCACTTTAAATTTTGATAGATACTGCAAAAGAGGCCCAATTTATACTTTCAGCAACAATGTATGAAGGAAGTTCCAGCCCACCTTCCTCCAAACAGTGTACTATCAACTTCCATTTAGTTCTCCATGCTCCATTTGTAACAATAATCTGTAATACTTCCTCAGGATTGTACATGATATTCTTGTCACTTTATGACCTCATTTTGATTTATTGGTTGATGAGTTTGTGTCAGTTATTGTCACTATGAATCACTGACCAATTGGTTTTTTATATACGCATGCAACAATAATATTTAGGAGGTTATAATAAAGATAATTTTAAATGTGTATTCAGGCTGGAAAATGAAAATCATTTCTTTGAGCCACTGAATCATTTTATTGGCCTTTCTGCCATATCTCTCTTAAGAAGGTGCAATGGGAATAGCACTAGATTAGGAGCCTGGGAATTTGTGTTCTGTTTGCAGCTCAAGCTGTGATAATTCAGGCCCTCATTCTTGGCCTCAAGTTTCCTCATCTGTCATTTTATAGGGCTTACAAGACCTCCAAGGTCTCCTGACAGTCTTGGATTCTAACCAAGTAAAGAGGTAGCTTACTAAAAATCACATTTTATCAGTTCATAGAAAATAAAAAACAAATTTCCTTTTCCCAGGAACATGCAAATGATTCATTCTGGAGACTCAAGCTAGCAGATTCCAGAACTGGATTCCTTGACATTTTCTCCACCTTTTTATCTCAGGAGCAATGGCATCAATTTTTCACAGAAAAGTTTGCTGAACTCATAGGGTCAAATGGCTTTGACTTTTTACTACTAGGTTTCAAGTCCAGAGCTCTTTCTACCAGACCACACCGTATTATTACCTTCTCTCACATCACCGCTCACCACACCATCCACACCTCCCTCATGTAGAACCACCTTTCCACCCAAACCACCAACATGATCGCCTCCATAGAATCATTCAAAGGACCACTAACTCCAGATAGTGCCACCAATGGGTTACCAATACCTGGAACCCAACCATGAAAGAGCTTCACCTTTGAGGGTTTTAAAGTGACATTAAAAGATTCCCAATGAATATCTTTCTAAATAGAACACAAAAGCTAGAAACCACAAAAGAAAAGTTTTGTAATTTAAAATACATAAACATTTAAAATTTCAAATATGGCAAAAAAAAGAACTATTTGAAAATTCAAAAATAAATAAAAGAAGTAGTTACAATTCAAAATGACAGAAGGCTAATTTCCTTCCTACACAAAGCCTTTATATAAGTCAGTAAGAACAAAGGCAAATAACCTGTAGAAAACTTGAGTAAAGGACATAAGCAGGCATTTCACAGGAAAGAAACATGAAAAGCCAATGCGTATATGAAAAGGTGAACACCCTCGTTCTTAATTTAGAAAATGAGAATAAAATTTCAAATCAGGTTGGCAGATTCTTAGAATTTGAGGATGATTGGGCTCACGAGGGTGTGGGGCAATAGGTGAAGTAGGTCCCCTATGCATTGTTAGGAGCATACACAGGGCAATTTGGCAGCATCAAGCAAATGTTAAAATGCACATACTCTTCAGACCCAGAGTTCATTTACCACTTCATGTCATACAGACAACACAGACCGACTAGCGGTTTCTTTCCCCTCACTCACAGGTGACGTGCAGCACCACTGAGACGGACACTGACTGATTTCTCTGCAGTTTGCAGGTGAAGGTGATGCCATGGTCCTCCTCACTGATGGAAGAGACACAGACAGAGCTGGAGTTGATTTTGTTTCCAGATTTCAAATCCACTTTCCTGTCTTCTCGGTACCAGAGAAGTTCTTCCTCTCTGGTATGGTTTTGAACAGCGCATCTCAGAGACTCTTGGAGTCCAGGCTCAGTGTCCAGAGTATAGCTTTCAGTTTTACCATTCACAGTTAAAACAGAACCTGGGAGTGCAGGAAGAAATTATTAATATAGAGTGAGCAATCTAAATGGCCATAATTAGAGACTTGGTTAAATAGATTATATTAAATCAGTACAATGAAATACTCTACAATGATTAAAAATAGTCATATCGGTCTATATGATTTTATAAGGAAAAGGATCTAGAATGTATTATTAATTTTAAAAAGGAAAAGGTTAAAATGACGATGACCAAGTTTTCCCGAACACTGAAATCACCTGGGGAATGTTCAAAAACGTACTAATGCCTGGCTCCCACCCCCAGACATTCTGATTAATTAATATTAGTATAACCTGGGCATTGATTAGGGTTTTTAAAACCCCCAGGCTATTCTAATGTGCAATGAAGTTTGAGAACCACTGGGTTAAAAACATTATGTATGGAATTACCCCACTTATACACACACACATACATACACACATACATATGGAAAAATCTTGGGAAAAATCGTATCTATATATTGAATAGGATTGATAAAAATAGAGAAATAGGTGGAGGAATACTTACCAGACCTAAACTGTTTACTTCAAGGGATTAGAAATAGCATACTAAGGGGGTGGGAGTGGGGAAGTGCAAAGGAGAAAGAAAGGACTATTGCAAAATGGAAAAACATTTAAGACATAATACTAGGTGAACAGGCACAATGTAAATTACATCTCTAACAATTTCTGTAAAAATATCAAAATTGAAAATGTCTCTGGGCAAAAGCTGATTTGAAAACATTTCTGATTAGATAAGATTGTCGACAAGTTTGGTCTTGCATTCCTGATACTAATTATTTTATCTTCTTTACTCTGAGCCATACCAACTGCGTAGTCATTCCAGTTTGAATTTTGTGTTTTCCCAATGCCCACTGGTCATTTTTTAACCTGAAATTTTCCTTATTTAAAAAGAGACCAGAAAGAATGTTAACTTACTTGTCATCTCGCATGGCAGAAATAAAATCACTAAGAGAAGAAGCCTGCACGTCTGCATCAGGCTGCTGGTCTTCCGTGCCATCTTTAATGAATTTGAGTCTGATCTGCCAGGGGGAAAAGAGTGCAGTTGGTTCCGTACTTTGGTCTACACTGAGTTTATGAACCTTCCTCTTGCCTATTATATATTTAAAATAAAGTCCCAGATGAGTCATCTCAGTTATAACGGTACTATTTCTAGTTTTTAATTAAACAACCCTGTTCTGACTACTAAGTTCAAAGTACTTCTAGTATTAAGGGTTTTTTTTTTTTTTTTTTTAGACAGCAAAAAAGGAAACCACAAGGATATAGGCTATCAGATGGAGGGCAGCTACAGGGCAGCCCTGGGGAAGATGAAACCTTTCCTAGAGACATTGATATCTCTAGAATGTCATTTTATTAGAAAGAGAAATGAAACTTGCTTTCTACTCAGACAGCTCCTACTGAAAAAAATAATTCTTGTTTTGAAAGCCTCTCCTGGGTCATTTTTGTAAAGTTGCTCTCTGCTAATACTGTTCGAAATCCCATAGATTCAAATGGTTTGTACCTTACAAAACACTCAATTGCAACACAGCCTCTAGTTCCAAACCACGTTAATCTCTGCTTTCCCACTTCCCTTCACTACTCTCCCCCTCATAACACACCTCCCCCTTGACCCAGCATGGACTAAGAATAATAAATAACACAGGCCTCTTTTCTCCCTTCTTCTGTGCTTTTGCTACTGCCATCTCTCTCCCGAAGATATTCCCTGCTTCCACCTGGGAAAGACGTGTATCTATCATTTCCTTTCAGCAGTACCACTAAGAATACAGCAGAAACGTGTATGAATGCTTTCTAAGCAACAGTCATTGTGCTAAACACTTTACATACATTATTTCAATCCCAATTAAGCCCCTAACAACCTTCTTGAGGTCTCTTGAAGGCTATGAAGAGATTATACAATTTGACCAAATGTCAGATTATATAATTTGTAAATGTTAAGGTCAGGATTTGAATCCAGGACTCCTAAGGCCATGTTCAACTACCCTCCTGCCTAAATTAATAATATCTTCCTTTAAGAAGCTGCTATTAATCCCTTCCAGTCCCTGGCCACTCTACAGGCCTTAGCAACTAGGAGTTCTACCTCATTAACACGAATACAGACCTTCAGGAGCTGGAATGTATCTGTGACCTTTGGGTGCTGGTTCTGCCCCTCCCCATCCCAGGCCCGTCATGACAGGGGCGGATTTTGTTCCTGCCAAGCTCACCCTTTCTGGCTGGCAAGCCTACATCAATCTTTCAATAAGACGCTATTGATTCTTTTGTAATTAAAAAATTTTGCCAGTTAGATTTCTATCACAGCATTGTTAACTCTGTGATGATTTCAGAATTTGGTTAGAGTTTTCTCAAGCACTGTGAACTGTAGGTGCTTAATAAATACTGAGAGTGTGGGCTTCTTGGCAGATCTTACCTTCCCTATTAAGGAAAAAGATTGCTGTTTCCCTTTCCATCCCACCTCAAGACAGCAAATTCATTTTCAAAATGAATTTCCCTCACTTGACTTGTTTTTAATTTTCATGACTCTCTAGTTTCTATGTAAGACAAAATCTTACCACTTACCCGCTAAGCTCTGAAAAGCTGATTTCCTTGGCCAGTCTTTCCTCTCTCCAGGAACCATGATCCTTTGCCTGTTACCATCTTTACAATACTTGAATTTGAACACTTTATGACAGTAAGGTCAAATAAATAAAATACATTGGGTTCAAAGTCTGTTTCTCTCTGTGGACTCTTAGAGAAGACAGTAATTGGGAAAGACATCTTAAGATCTAAGTTTTTATGTGTACTTAGGTCACTAGGTGGGGTCAGATATTACTAACAGCGATGTCATCGCTCTAAGAAAGCCTGACCTTGTGCAAAAATTTGTAGCGCATCTCACTTAAAGTTGTCAGGCTCGTTAAATGGCTGTGCTTGATAATCTGACAGCCTGAGAACTGCAGTGGGGCAAGTCTGAGGGGAAATTTGATTTTCACAGAAGCCAAAACATTGGAAGATTCCACACAACTTAAATAATGCTGGAAAGTATTACTTACCACTGGTCACCCAAGCCTAGTATATAAACTGTACCAAGCCAGGCATGGCAGGGGAAGTTTTTATACCTCTGAGGCACTCACCTGACTGAGAATCCTTGCTTTACACTTTCAAGAACTAGAAATATGAAGATAATTTTTTTTGGTTAAAAATACATATATTTATAGTGGTTTTACAACATGAATTTTATCTGGAAGTACTATTATTCCCATTCATACAAGACTAGAAATATATATATATATACACACACACACACATACATATATATATATATTTACACACACAAAAAAGACTAGAATAAGAGAATATTTATGGTTATCTGTACATTTTAACACTTTGGTTAAGCACAGCAGACACCTGCCACTTGCTAGCTGTGTGACTTCATAAAGTTATTTTACTTCTGTGGACCTCAGGTTCTTTGTCAATACAATGGGAATAATAATAGTGCCCTCCCTACAAGGTCACTGTGAGGATTAAATGAAATAAAGCATGTGAAGCAGCCACACAGTAAGCTCTTATTAAGTCGCAGTTATTACTATTATTAATATAGGCTGGGCAGGGCACAATAGATAAACACAGCCTCCCTCTAGCATTGTTCCTGTAAGAATCATAACTAAGAGCACTTCCTGTTGGCTGGGTTGTCAGCACCATGTCAGCAGGTTTTGCATTTGCTTCTGTATGGATCTACAGGCACTGTGTTTTGCTATTATCATTTTTAAATGAACTTAGCAATGGATTGATGTCTTGGCTCTGGGTCTCTCCAAAGCAGACCCGAAGATAAAACTTTGCATGCAAGTAGTTTATTGAAAGGTGATCTCAGGAAGCACAGTAAGGAAGTGAGATGGGGAAGGAAAGAAACCTAATAAAGGATGTGTTAATGAACAGGCTACTGTGGGCAACTGTAGCTGTGGACCCTTTCGACACGTTCTGTGGAACACTTCTCAGAATCGACTCACGAAGCTTGAGTCTTTATCCACAAACTTCTCTCCATCATTGGTTAGGGGACACTTCTGGGATGTTGACTGCCCAGCACTTCCAGCCTGTTCCGTGAAGGCGTTGTGTACTCTCTGGTTCTGCCTGTGGATGTCCAAGCAGACACTCAGGATGTCACCCATTACATGGGGACAGGTTACAGGTACCCTCTACTCAGGCCAAGGGAATGTGGGTAGGGCACCAATATCAACTACAACTGGATATTAGATGACATTAGGAAATAATGGTCAAATATTCTTGGGTGTGATAATGGTATTCTGGTTGTATAAGAGAATGTCCTCATTCTTAGGAGATGCCTGCTGTAATATTTATGGGTTAAGTCATAATAATAATGATTGCAACTAACTTTCAAATGGTTCAGCAAAAAATAAATACACACGAAACAAATACAGCAAAATATTATTTACTGAATCTAGAATCTAAATAGGAGTGTAAAGTACTATTGTACTATTCTTTCAACTCTTCTGTATGTTTGACATTGTCATAACTAAAATGTTGGAGGAAAGTATTTAGCAGATATTTACTGAGTGTCTACTGTTTGCTGAGTACTCTAAGCACTGGGGATGCCAGTCCCATCCAAACCAATATGATATCTTTTTCATGAATTAGTAAGACTTGGCTTTGCAAGTCAGTCTACTGCCATCTGTGGAGAACTGTTTTAATAATGATGTCTATAAAAAGAATGGTGGAATGGTGCTACCTTAACTCCACAATGTGAAGTGGGTACCCTGGGAGATACAAAAATGAGCTCCTGGTCTTCAAGGGCCTTACATTCTAGAGGGGAAAGTTAACCATGGTCAGGATCCAGATAGAGTGTATTTTCAGATTTAAAAATGATATCATGACGCCCCCTCTGGAGAGTCAAAGAAGTGGCATGATTTGTCCTAGACCATTTAAGTCTCAGGAAATTCCTCCTTTCTAGGACTGACAGAGAGAGGAAACCATTTTTGCCATAAGTAGTTAAGCCTAGTAGTTACCATTAAGCTTAAGTAGTTGGTTGATTACCAGAGTCCGGTACTCCACATCTTCCACAAGTAGCTCAGACCCAGGGGGAGAGAAGACAGGAAGCCTGGAATCTGGAAATTCCTGTGACTGGAAAAAGTCTGCTCCACATCGGGCTCTTGCAGTTTTGGACAGAGAAGGGGGTCCAAGAACTGGCAGCCATGGCCTTCTGATTTAAGTGAGCATAAGATGCACCTGGGGGAGTCTCCAGGCACCCTTCCTTCATCAGGAATCTCATCTTTAACAAGCACCGAGGTGACTGACATGGTGCTTCAGGGGTATCATTTTGAGAACTATGGACTGTGGAACTAAGCATTGATGAGGGCGATGAAGGTAGATGCCCCTCAGCTAAGGGTAAGTGCCTAGCACAGTGCCCAGTGCATGGTGGGTGCTCAAGAGGAAACAGTAGTGGAGGGAAGGAAAGAAGGAAGGAAAGGAGGGAGGGAGAGAGGGAGGAAAGACAGGGAGGATCCCACTCGGAGATAAATAAGATGTGCCAGCTGGGTGTTCTGCCCCAGAAAAAATGTGTACACCAGGCTGCCCTGGGGAGACGGACTCTGTGAGCGCACAGGCCCCACGGTACTTCCTGCTGTGTGGAATGAAGAACAGGAGAGGGACACAGGCAACCAGGAGGAAAGACCTGAGGGGTGGCGCGGCTGACTGCCGACCAGCGCCATCCCCAGAAGGCTTCAAGCTGCAGCCTTCACATCTGCTGTCACCAAGCTTGATGTGACAGAGGCAGCAGTTCAGCAAATGGCTGGCGGGTCACAGGCCAGCAGGGTCATCTGCCCAGGTCAGCGGGAAGACCACTGAGGGTTTTAACGTGACAGAAAAGCTAGAAATCTGGCAGTCACAGCCTTGCGATGATAGAGTGGTTCTCTGAGCAATGCAGGGAACCAGTATGGTGACTTTCCATCCAGAATCCGACAGAGTATCCACCAGACTGCTTAAAATTGGTCATGGGACTTCAGAATTTCCAGCTTTTAAACCATAATTAATAGTTTTCTAGCTTCCCATCTTCCATTAGGATTCCATTATCACCAAAAATCTTAGACCTTAAATAGAGACCTGAAAGGCCACTTGTTTGGGGTGCCAGAGTTAGCAAATAATACAAAGCACCCATTAAATTTGAATTTCAGGTAAGTAATGAATAATTTTTTAGTGTAGGTATGTCCTGTGCAACTACTATCTGTTAATTTTTGACAAAGCCAATATTTGGAATATATTTATATTAAAAAAACTTTATCTGAAATTTCAATTTAACTAGATGTTTGTCTTATATCTGGCATCCTACTTCTATCTAATCCTCCCATTTTTTAATAGGCAAAGAAATGAAGTTCAGAAAGGTGAAGGGACTTGTCCAAAGTGACACAAGTTTAGAATCCATTCAAGATTCCTCGTTGCCACACTGTATCCTTTTTCCAAATTCCTTATTTCAGAGTTTCTTAACTTGGCTTCTTGAGCCACTATGGGTGGCTTTAGAGTGTCAGTGAAATCCTTCAATTGTAGACAGAAAGATAGGTGTGTGTGTGTGTGTGTGTGTGTGTGTGCGCGCGCGCGCGCGCGCATGTATGCAGGTGCACATGGGTATTTTTCTTGGGGGATAGTCTCAGATTTTTTTAATTAGCTTCTCAAAAGAGTCATGATTTTAATAAAAGATTAAAATCTACTCTTCCACAGTAGTATGTTTGGCTTTCAAAATGCAGAACATCTGTAACTTTGGAAATGGGCTAAAGTCACATTGCAGCTTCCCCTATGTCCCTTCATTCCCTGGCACAGCTCTGGGTCCAGTCATGCTCGGAGATGGGTAGATTTTTCTGAAAGTATACAGAAAAATATCTACTACGTCCTCTACACACCACGCAGCAGAAGCCATCCTACCCTCCACATCCTACACAACCTATGTCAAAACCAAAAATTCCTCTTATCTATCCTATATGTTCCTTCCTCCACCTCTTGGACTGACAATGCAGTTGACAGGCCAGAGCACCTTTCAGAGGAAGGTGGCAGGGATGTGACCTTTGAGGTTTACCACTAGAGGTCCCTTCTCATCCACAGTGATTCTGAAGTTAGACTTTGCTAGTAAGTAGAGAAGATATTTCCTAGGACCAGTGGGGCAGATCTCTGCCTGTTACAGGCATAACTGGTATATTCTGTACCAAGCAGTGGCGAAGTCACCATGTGATACAGTAGGAGTGACGCAGAATAAAATGGATTCCTCAGAAGAAGCTAGATAGTATCACTCAGTATCAGGCTTGAAGGCAGAGTTTATAAGCAGAGATCTGGAGTTTTCTCCTCATCCAAAAGGAGGGGGAAAAGCAGGACATTCTGCCACTCACCATCCCCAAGCAAACATCCAGTTTCCTTTTGAGAGTAATCTGGCTTCAGGGGCGTATTTACTGAAAGCTAATGAAGCTTCTGTTGGAGATCCTTATTTGCACAGGCTCTGTCTAAGGGTCCTGACCTTAGTAGCTTTATATTTGTAGTACTGTACTTTTTTTTCCTTACAGAAGCCTCCCCTCCCCAAAGATATACAAACATCAGGCCCCACAGGGCTTGGATCTAGCCCTGTCTGGCTCCAGGATACAGGATTTCAGAGAGGAAAGAGGTGGGGGGGAGTTTCAAAGGGAAGCCTGTCTGGGGACTAATGAGAGAGCTTCCTGTTAGGATGA